CTGTTGTTCAGCATCTTAGCTGTAGAGGGCAGTGTCACTGGCCCTCATATGTGGGATCCAAACAGGGGCTCTCTGGCGTCCCAAGCCAGCTCTTAACCATCGCGCCACTCGGCCGGCCCTGAAGCTTTTAATATATCCTCATAACCCACAGAATGAAATAAAAATTCCTTAGTTTATTTCATGGTCCTAGATTCCTTAGCTTAACATTAAAGGCATTTTATAATATATCCTGGCTTGTTCCCTAAATACTTTATGCTTCAGCCACATTGAACTTCTCGCTGTAATCTGGTTGATTTACTTGTCAGAGTTCCCTACTGAACTGTGAAGTTCTCAAGGGCAGGAATCATTTTTTTTATATGTTTACATGTGTAGCACCTGGCACAGTGCCTGGCATATAGTAGGTGCTCGTTAAATGTTGATGGATTAATGAAATGCCTTTTCTTCTCCGTATTTCTATTAGCCTCCATGAGCCTTATATTGCAAACATTTCCCAAATATATCACATACTTTCATGTCTGGAGGCAGTCCTTCAAACTTTGAAAAATCTGCTCCCTTCCATTCTCTGCCTATAGAAATTCAATACATTTTCATCCTGGTACATCATTGATTGACCCATGTGCTGAGCATTTGACATGAGAGGAATGAGAATAATACATCAACTCTGTGATATAAATACTATAATTATTCTCATCTTACAAATAAGGAATATAACTAACAGGTCTAAGATCCAATCTAGACATTAACTATTGTGGGATTTCAGCCCAACTCTCATTAACTCTGAAGTCTGTTTTCTTTCTTGACCAATCAACTGTTGGTTGATACCTCCACAGACACTGGTTAAACTGCTTTGCACGGAGCCATATTGGCATATATTACTACTAGTTTTTAACACAGTCTTAACACCGGTATTAACACTCGTTAATTTTTACAAATTTGATAGGTGCAAAGTGGTTCCTTGTTGTATTATAAACAGATAATTTCTAAGTCCTCTGCACATCTTGTCTTTGGAAAAGTATGTTTCTCATTCTGTAGCCCCCTCATCAGGTAAGCTTTGATGAAATGGGGGTAGAATGAGATTATATTAAATTCTACCTGAACTTATGAAAGCTTGATTATTTTATACACACACACACACACACACACACACACACACACACACGTATTTTAAAACTAGAGTTTCACCAAAATCTAATAATAAAACCCATGTATATTATTAACTTAATTTTCATCTAATAAGCATTGACATAAAATTTGGTTAAATGTTCTGTATTCTCAACATACCCAATTCTAAATTGCTTTCTTGGGTCCAGAGGAACCTTGGCACAAAAAATAAGTGGAGAATAAAGGGAGTTTCACTAGAAATAAATTTGTCACACAGGAAATAGCATCTTGAATCTATAGGAATTCCCCTTTCCACCACAGCTTACATGAGAACTATAAATATTAATCATAAAAACAAGACTGAAAAACAACTAAAGAACCAAAGAATAAACCACAAGGAATGTTGGATGTCAATTTTCTGTTAAAGATAGTGCTCAGAAGAGATGGGTAGTAATCATCTGCCGCCAAGAAAAATACAAAATAAGAATTCCAGAAGAACCCACAGATGGTTTCAGAGTAATTCCTCTTATCAGAAAAGTTATTACTGGCATTGTGGAAAGAATTGTGTTTTGGCATCTTTGCCAGAAGACTTTTTCCCAGAAAGAAATATGAATAGCATTAACAGTGTGCAGTGAGTGCCTGCTATATGCGAGGTGCTGGCTAGGTTGACTAGGACATCGCCTCAGCCCCTAAGAAGCTCACAATCTAATGAGATGGACGTTTAAAATGCAGTGTGGTAAGTGCTATAATCACCATACATGTGTAACAAATACCATAGAAAGTTCAGAGAAGAGAGGGATTTCTGGGGACGTGAAATATATTTGAAGCCTGAAGGAAGAGTGTGTTTTTCAGCCAGAGAAGAGTTGGGAAAAAGCATGAGAAAAAACAAAGAGATATGGCAACCTTTTTTTAGTGCCGAAGTGGTGTTTGCTTAACCTTCCCTGCTCCTTGGCAACAGAAGGTGGTGCAGTAACAGTTTTATTTATTGTAAAGAAAAAAAATGAGATTGGAGAGAAATGTTTGCATCATTCAGTGATCATCAAAATGCCACAGTGGAGGGTGGGTAGCCTCTTCCAGGTTCCTGTGTTCAAGGTCCTACAGAGCAGCGGTGGTCCACCAGTGACTCCATTAATTTTCACCTCCTGTGTTTGTTTCCTCCTCCCCCCCCTCAGGCTTATTCTGTGTATGATGAAGAGATTGGCTATTGCCAGGGCCAGTCGTTTCTCGCTGCTGTTCTGCTTCTCCATGTGAGTAAAGAGGCCTCGGTGATGACCGAGACCTGGCCTGCCTCAGCTTAGACTAGCTTTAGACTTGAGTGTAGTTTTATATTGCCTTTGGCCCGACTCTAGGGCGTGGATTTTAACTCCTATATCTGGAAACCTTTTCCTTAATTTAATGTCATCATGGAAGTGAAACATGGTGAAAATAAGTGACAGTGTTAAAAACTAGTACAAGAGTAGACTTCATTTTTATTGCTGGGATGATTGGATAGACTTTATTTTAGTCTTGGTTGGACTCTTAGGGACATTTTACCTTCTGTAAAATAGCCACTGTCATTAGTATTTGTTTTGGGATTTATGTTTGGAGTGGGAAGGAGGCTGACAAGTTGGCTTTCTTTAGTGACATTCATTCATTCATTCAGCAAAGACCTTTATTCTCCAAATTACTGATAAACTTTCAGATCCACAGCAAAATTGAAGAAATCTTAAGGTGAACACTCATACACTCTTCACCTAATTTACTAATTAATATTTTTCTACACTGTTTTCTCTATCTCTCTCTGCATATTTCTCTTTTCCTCTTTTTTACACACACACATTTTAGGTCATCATCTTTCTTCAAGACAATATGAGTTCTCATTATTGACAGATACACTTTTTTTTTTTTTAATGAAAAAATTTTTGTTTGAAAGTCAATAGCAAACGTGAGGATACTTCACTCCTAGAGCATGTATCTCCTAAGAACATAACTGTAACAGCACAGTAACATCCAGGAAGTGCCACTGATTCAGTCTTGTCTTGCACACAGTCCATGTTCAGTTTTCCCCAATTGTTTACTCAGTAAAGCCCTTTATAGTTTTTTTTCCTTAACCCAAATCAGTGAATTGGATTTGGTTGATTTAAGCATTGAATTTGGTTGTAATTTCTCTTTATTCTTTTAATCTAAATTATCTGCTTGCTTTTTTTGTGTATTTCATACCATTTACAATTCTGAAAAATTTCAGCAAATTGCTTGTAAAAAACATCCTACATTCTTGATTTGTCTGATCATTTCCTCATGATTCAAGCTAAAATGCTTGGCAAAAATACCACACAGGTGATGTTAGCAGAGAGTTTTTGAGCACCTGTTATAGTCTGTACTGTGCTAGAGGTCAGGAGAGAACAATGGGGACATGGTCCCGTCATGGATACAAAGTTAGTGAAGCACAAGTTCATCATTTTTAATTTCAAGGGCACTATGAAGACATAGTAATAAAAAGTCTGATGCAAGATTATAACAAGGGAGCCATATTTATATAGATTCCAGGCTTCTCTGGGGAGGTAACCTTGAATAATTGACAAATAAAAATTGTGTGTGTGTGTGTGTGTGTGTGTGTGTGTATGTAGTAACACGATGATTTGATATACATACATTGTGAAATGATTATCACAAGCTAATTAACACATCTACAGATAAAGCTTTTAAATTTTTGTTTTAATTAGGTTTTATATCTCAAAGTCTCACAAGGCTGTGTGGTTTGTCTGTGTTCTCAACTGCAGTCCAAGGACATTTATCCCCATATAAGTATCACAAGCCCTTTAAAATGGGTTTTCCAATCAAGTCTAGTGTCTTAATTTGAACTCTGTGCTGCTTGCCGTCATGTTAAGATAAATGTTTGTTGCAGAGTGAGTGCAGATGTGCTGCCTAATGTCAGACATGCCCCCTGGGTCAGACCAGGTCTCCCTCGGCACGTGCAAGAGTGAAAGTGCCTTTCGTGACCTCAAAGGTCTGGTCCTTTGCCCAAATCCTTACCTTCCCAATAATAATTTGCTATGTTTTTCTCATTTAGTGATTAATCTGATCTGCTCTTGAGCTCTGCTTTATTCCCAGTGATGTCTGTGCCTAGCCCACCTCCGTCATCTTGTTTCACAGAAGAAGCCTACTCACCTTGACATTCTAAAGGCTTGCTGCAGTCACCAATCCTCAAATAAAATTTCCAATGCCTTTTTTCTATTTTGGAAACGAGACATTTTACCAGGTTCTCAGGGAAATATTTTTCTATAAGGCTGTGGAAGGCGTAGATATTGTTTTAAGTGGGTAACATCTGTAAATACAAGTGAAGTAGGATTTCTGTAGCACTTTAAGTGTTATTGCAAGTGTTAACTGTAGTACTTTCAGCATTGCTGCAAGCCTTAGAATAATACGTTAAGTTTTTTTCTGTAACTAGCTATGTTTTTAACAACAATGAAGAAGAAAAACGTTCTTACTAGAATGAAATAGCAGCTGAGGAGGTAAAATGATTTAACAAGGTCTCATGATTTGGGAACGAACGATGAAACCTATGCTCATGTATCGGCCTGTTCTACTCAGTTCACATCCCATCTTCCCGGCAAAGCCTTTTTCTGTCTCTCATCCAGGCAGACTCAGGGCTTTCTGGCTCTTGTGTTCTCACTGATCTTTCTAACCTAATTCATGTCACAGTTGCTGTGTATTGGTGGTCAGTGAGCTCCCAGAGCACAGGAACAGTGTCTGACATAGAGTGGGCATCGTTAGATAGTTCTTAGCTGAGTGAATGAATGTTGTAAAGCATAACTTCAGGCCTGAGTTACTGCATTCCACTGAATGTCCTGGTGTCCATATAAGAGAGTAGAAGGATGAGTTTAATATACTGAGAACGTCTGTATATGTTTTGTGATTCCGCCCCCCCCATTCCCTGTCTGTTACAGATGCCTGAAGAGCAGGCATTCAGTGTTCTGGTCAAGATCATGTTTGACTATGGTCTCAGGGAACTTTTCAAGCAAAACTTTGAAGATTTGCATTGCAAATTTTACCAGTTGGAGCGCCTCATGCAGGTAAAAAAAAGGAAAGACAGAAAGAAACCTTGTGCATTTGCCAGTTAGCATGCAGGACTGAGAAGTAGACTGATGAAATGGTGCAGGGAGCAGTGGTGATGGCCTTAGCCACCCAGGGTTCAGGACGGGTTTGTTTTGTTTTGTTTTGTTTTGTTTTGTTTTGTTTTCATTTCTCGCTATGTGATGATGATGCCAGATTAATAAGGCGTGGGCCTGATGGTGTGAGCTGGGCTTTCAATCTCATAAACACTAAACATGTCAGATGACTTTGCAGGGTCCTTTAACACAGCAGCCTCAGTCAAAAAATAGTCTCAAAGGCTCTGAAGCTGACTGGTTAGGACTTTCATAACAAAAGTGAAACAAACTTTCCCAAACATTTCATAACTTGGAAAGAAAAAACTGTCTTTCCAAATATTTGTCACCATTTGGGGGATATCCCTTTAGAGCTAGTTTGTGGACTGGAAAAGAGAGCCAAGAGCCAGTTTAATACCAGATAAGTGTTCTTCTGAGAACTGGAGGGTTTTAGAAAAACACAAATATGTGACTTTTGGGGTCTATTCCTGTCAGATTTATGAGCCTCCTAGGAGGGAGCCGAACAGCTGCCTCTGTGCCTAAAACTAGTGAGTTTGCTGTTGCAGGAATACGTTCCTGACCTGTACAGCCACTTCCTGGACATCAGCCTTGAGGCACACATGTACGCGTCCCAGTGGTTTCTTACGCTTTTCACCGCCAAATTCCCTCTCTACATGGTCTTCCACATCATCGACCTGCTCTTATGTGAGGTACGTATCAGGGGCTCTGGCACTGTGGCGCTGTTGCAGTGTCCTTCCGTGTCAGCTGTCAAGGCTGAGTTTTTTCTTCTCAGCTTATTTCAGTGCCAGAAAAATCCAGGTTTAAGTGACTCTTTTTGCTTCCAGCTGAAGCTGATGATCACGTTTTGTTCAAGGTGCTGTTTGGCAACAAACATGATGGACATTTATATTAGTTAGTATTAGGTTCGGCTGAATTTTTTTTTTTAAGATTTTTATTGGGGAATTGGGGGAGGGGAACATTGTGGTTTTCCAAGACCCATCAGCTCCAAGTCAAGTTGTTGTCCTTCAGTCTTAGTTGTGGAGGGTGCAGCTCAGCTCCAAGTCCAGTCGCTGCTTTTGTCTAGTTGTTGGGGGGGTGCAGTCCACCATCCCATGCGGGAGTTGAACCAGCAACCTGATTGCACACTGAGCCATCGGCCACCCATAGGTAGCTCGTGGCTGCTCAGCTCAAGGTGCTGTGTTCAATCTTAGTCACGGGGGGGGGGGGGGGGCAGTCCAACATCCCATACGGGTGTCAAACCAGCAACCTTGTTGTTGCTAAGAGCACACGCTGTCACCGGCTCAGCAGCAGCTCAGCTCACGCACAGCTCACTGGCCCATGTGAGAATCAAACTGGTAACCCTGTTGCTCAGAGCTCGTGCTCTTAACCAACTGAGCCACTCAGCCACCCCTGGTCTGAATTTTTTGAGAGACCAAACAACAGTGGTTAATAAAGCAGAGGTGAGTTTCTTACGTAAACGAAGTGAGAAGGTTGGCGTGACCTGCCTTTCCTGTAGTGTGACTCACCCTTATGGCTGCTTAGACTTCTAGCCACCAAGTTGTAGCTAAGCTGGGAGGTTGAGGGCATGGGAGAGAGTGTATGCCCTCCTTTTAAAAGACTTTCTGGAAGTTCCACCTACATTTCCTCTTATTGGCCAGAACTTAGGTACATGACCACACCTATGTGCAAGAGAGATTTTGTTTTTAAGCTTGGCAAAAATCAGCTGTTGGGAGTGGGTGGGGGTTCTGTTCCTACAAAAGAAAGTAGATATCAGAATAAATACCAGTCTTTGCCACAGCATAGTTTTGGGTTTCGGGAGGTTGTGTGTGTGTTTAGGAAAAAAATAACTAATTTCAACAATAATATATATTTATTATAGAAACTGTAGAAAGTATCAGCAAAAAAGATTTAAAGATACTTCTAATCCCACTGTCTGGAGGGTAACTACTTTCAACATTTTGGTGTATAGTCTTTCAGCCTTTTTTTGTGTTCATATATGTGCATGTAAAATTTCTATACGGAATAGTTTTTCTATATGGAATATTATGTAATAATATACATTATGGGTCTATATATATTTTAAAATGTGATTATGCTATATATACTGTTTGGTAACCTTCATTTCATATACTTGAACCATCTGTATACAAATCTGCCATCCTTTTTGCTTAATCTTAGCCATATGTAAAACATAGAAAAATCTAAGCTTGAAACATAAGAAGTCACATTACCAAATGTACTATTATTCTTACTTGCTGTCAGAAATCCCATTATTTGGATATACCATAATTTATGTAAACAATTCCTAACCTCAGACCTTGGAGTTGTCCAGTTTTTCACTACTATAAACAACAATTTGTTAAGTAGTTATGGCCCAATAGTATTCTAAGTGATTTACATAAACTTTTCACACTGATTAGCTCAGAAAGACCTTGGAAGAATATTAGTTATGGAAACCGAACTCAGAACTTAACATAGCTTAACTTGATCAACAGATGCTGCTTTTCCTCATTCGTCCTTTGCCCCCAGCATTTCCAGAATTGTTAGATGGAGGGAGGCAGATTGCGGGGAGCCCTGACCAGACTCAGTTCTGGATGCGGGGCTCACAGACAGACAGACTGACTGTAGTACTTGGAGTGGGCGGCACAAAATAAAGAAAAAGCCCACTAGGAGTTTCTTCCCAATCACAGTTTTATGAGCCTCATATCTTGGTTTGAAAGCATAGAATACTTTGGGAAAGTGTTCTTTCTTGCTGAATGTGAGAAGAGGGCTAGGAAAGTTCTTCTCTCAGAAAAATGGAGGCCTGGGTTGGCTTTAAGTGGTTCTTCAGCGTCGCTCTGTAATTTTTATTTTCTAAGGTATTTTTAAGATACTCCATTTCTTAATTAAGTTTTTACAATTGCTCTATAATTGTGGGGTCAAATGGCTTAATAATCCAGATATAAACACTGAAAATGTTGTTTTGTGTTTTCTCTTTTAGGGAATAAGTGTAATTTTTAATGTCGCCCTTGGATTATTAAAGGTACACATTTATACTGAATTATCTGGCATTCTCTGTTCAGCTCTTGCGATATCTTGGTCTTAATCTCCATCTAAGCAGCCACTGTGCTCTAATATTGTCCCTGACAGTGGATATGTGCACGTGGTTGTGGCAAAGGCTCAGAAGTGTCTTCTGGGGATTATAAAGGTGCTGGGATTATAAAGTGATTCTTGTGCATCTTCCTAGCAAGGAGCTCTTTCTATACGTGCTTGTGTTTTCTTTCTTCAAGACTTCCAAGGATGACTTGCTGTTGACAGACTTTGAAGGTGCCTTGAAGTTCTTCAGGGTTCAGCTTCCTAAGAGATACCGCTCAGAAGAAAATGCAAAAAAGCTAATGGAGTTAGCTTGCAACATGAAGGTAAAAGAGTTTTTGCATTAATTTAGATGTTTTTTCCAGTTAATATCTCACTATTCCTGATCAAATGATAAACATTTATAATACATTAATAATAGTAGGGGTTTTTTGTATTCTATTATTTTTTTCTAAATATTTTCATATGTATTAGGAGGTACGAGGTATATTCTGTGCATTAAATCTCATGGCCTCTCCCAACCTTTCAACTCCAGGAAAGAAATTATTATCCTTATTTGGAAGACAAACCAAAACACAAAGAAGTTGTAGCCCCCTAGAGTCATGCGTCTACTTGGTGGCAGAACTCAGGTTTCATGATTTCTCCTGTGCTGTCCTTTTACTTTCAATATTTGTTGTTATGGTCAGAAATTCCCTAAAATGAAACTAGTAGTACATGAAGGAAACCACTCAGTTTTTTCACTTCAATGGCATTTATGATTTGTGCAGTTTTTTTAAGGTAAAACAATATGGGATCTCCTCGTGTTCATGTTATAGTAACATTTCATTTTTATAGAACATGAAAAGGTAATTGAAGGAGTTTAGTTTGGGATTTTCAGGTAGAGGCAAATGAGGACAGAAGAAATAGTTGCGCTCAGATCCTTATTGGGTACATGGGGGACTGCCTGGCACATTGACTTTCTGTGACCCCAAGGGCAGAGCTGGGACTGGTGTGTCAGGGTGATTGTCCAGTGAGCAGAGCGCGGACTTGGCATGGGAAAGACCCGAATTCAGAGTTACTTCATGTAAGGCGCAGTTTCCTCTTTCGTAAAGGAACATTGGACTGCTCGTTCTGGTTCTGCGTCAAGACTGAGCTAACGCACGCTAACTTCTTTAAACACTGGAGATGCTAAATAAAATACAACCCAAGAAATGTTTAAATACCTGGATGAACTTGAAAGAAAAAAAGAGTAATGCCCAGGTAGCCGAAACACAGTAGCTCAAAGCTCGTGTGTATGGATTGATAAAAGAGTGTCTCAGGAGATACGACTATGAAAGCTTTAACACCCACACAGACAGACATATATGATGTTAGGCGGCTGAAAACTGGAACCTCTGTGCGTAAGTGAAGACCTTGGAATGGCTGCTGTGGTTTTGAAAGGGGAGATACGAAAACGACCTGTTAGCCCAAGAAACAATAGAAATCATAAGACTAAGTGAATGGGGGGTTTTCCCAAAAACAACAAAAAAAAGAAATGAAAGTAATCATTAAAGTCATGGTTCCAAGTAAAATGTGACATACTTCACAAGTACTATAGATAACATTTAATATACTTCGTCATGTGCCAGGCGCTGTGGTTAAGTGCTTGTACATATGAGGATTAACGACAGTACCTTAGTGCCTGGAGACTAGTAGGAGTTCAGGAAACGCTGGCCAGTACTAGGAGTATTTCCCCTCTGGCTTTTCAAGCAGGTATAAATCCTTTTCAGTGACATTTTCATGGACGATGGGTTTGTGCACAGAGCAGAGAGCCAGGTGAGCTCTGAGGTTCTTCGAGTCAGTCTTTCCACCTCAACTTGGCTCAGCACGTGGGAGGATGCTGCCTGTTACTTGCTTGTGATTTCTTCCTTCCAAAACCTGTTCCTTTCTCAATGTCCCCATCTTAGATTGTGGTGTCTGGTTGCTCAGACCAGAAAGCTTGATGTCATGCTTAACTTCTCTTTCTCAGCATGCATCTTCATTCTGCACAGCCACGCCCTGACATCAGAATGTGTCTGGGACTAGATCACTTCCAGCTTCCTTGATCACTAACCCCCTGCTGTGACCATCGTCATTACTTCTCTCCCGAAATCCTCCAGTGCACGCCTCGGTCTTCCTGTTTTCACAGCGGTTTCCTCCAAGGCTTTTCTTATCCCATCTCTCCTTTTCTTAAAACGCTCATGGCTTCTCAGCTCAGAATGCAACTGGAGGTTTCGCCTTGGCCTGTGAGGCCTGGCACCATCTTGCCTCTTGCCACCTGTCTGATTTCATCTCCTGCTCTCTCCACTGCAGACACCCTGGCCTCCTTTTTCTCCAGCAGGCCAGGCATGTCCGTTGCGTTGGCCTTTTCCTGGCGGGTCTCGGCCTGTAACTTTCTCCTCAATGTCTGTGTGGCTTCACTGTTACCTCATTCAGTATTAGGCTCAAATGTCATGCCATCAGAGAGGCCTTCTCTAACCACAGTGTCTGAAGTAGCAGCTCCCCCCAACCCTCATCTCCTTCCCCTGTCTCATTTTCCGCATAACACTTAAACTACTTCACGTTATTTTGTTTATTTAATTATTAATTCCACACATGCATGTGCGTGCGCGCACATGCGCACACACACACACACACACACACACACACACACACACACACACACTGGAATTATGCCTGTGACAGAGGGGACTTTATCTTTTGTTTACTTCTGAATCCCCAGCACAAGAACAGGATATGGCGTGTAAATGTTGGTTGAATGAGTGAATAAATCAGTATGCTGTTGAGTTTCTACCAAGTGTTTTATAAAGAAGAGTTAACGTGGATTTGGGCAAGGCTTAAAAATATTTTCCAGTTGAAGGTTTTTACCTTTGGAGCTTTCATTAGCTTGAAACACTTTAATAATATATGGACCCTTTACTTCGTTACTCCGGGTGGAAGGTGTCTAATGTCTTCTTTTTCTTGCCTGCGCTTTCAAGGCATTTAGGCAGACAAAGCTGCACAGCACACACATTTTGTGCTTAGACACGTAATTGCTTCTGGCCCTGGAGAGCTTTGCATGGCTCGGGTGCACTTTGGATGATTCCCCTACTTGCACATGGTTTTGAGTGAGAAAGATGGTAGTTTTTCTTGAAATTGATTCACAGTATGGAGAGCCTACAGATTCTCTAGGACATGAGAGAATGAGATTTTTCTGCTCAAAGGTGGGGTGTAATATGTACAGTTTAGTTAGTGATGGTCAGTTGTACTCTGGCAGCTATACTTAAGACCGGCAAATGTGGAGGCGGGAGGTAGAGGCAATAGCTGAGCCAGTTATCGGCAGCGAAGCTCAGTCACAGTGATAATCTGCCAGCTCAAAAATAAGAAAACCCTTGGCAAGCCCTGCTCTATGTGGGCTGCCTGAGGCAGGAGTGTCTCTGTCAACACAGGGAGTCGTGTCATCACTTGGGGATTTGGAGCCCACTAGACATGGAAACAGGGTTCCTGCTGTGTGGCTGGTGTAGAAACTAGCTTTTGAACTTTTGGGTGTAGAATTTAGAAACGAAACATTGGCTCTGTAACTCATTAAATGCCATTCCATTATGATATAAAGAAATGCCATTCTTTAATTTTTTCAAAAAACTGTGGCTTATTTTTGCAAGTTATACTTCCTGATTAAGGTGGGAATTGGGCATACTTTGCCTCACATGCCAGTCCAGGAAGCAGATACCTACTTTTGTGTTGTTGTTGTTGTGTTTTAACAATTATAAAGTTGTAATTTCTGGTGTTTGTATTGTTTCTGTCAGTATCTCATTTCTCCCTCACAGCTCCCTATAAGGTATGTTAGGGCGAATCAGGTGTGGAAACTGAGGCTTATAGAAGTCAGGTGACTTACCCAGCTGGTACTGGCTGGGCAGTGACGTGCCCTCATGGAACCAGGCCTTCTGACTATCCATTCCCAGTGCTTTCCTCTCCATCCCACTGCCTCTTCACTTTGCAGGATTGCAGCAGGAGCGTCTTACGTGGCAGTACCTGAAATGGCCACAAGATGGTGTGCTACTCATAAAGCTCCATTTTCCTCCCTGTGCCGTCTTTTTCTCTGTAATTCTGTCTCTGTGTCGATCCATTACTTGCCTCTCTTTAATTTCTCTCTTTACAGCCCTTTTACTTCTCGGTGTCGTCTCCCTCCTTCTCCCTAGTTTATTATGGGACTGAAATATTTATTTTTTGAGGAGTTTCAGATCTCCTGCTCTTAATCTAAAAGTTAACAACATACATCCAAACTAATTTAGCTGTCCATTGAATTTCTCTTCCTTTATGGGTCAGTACCCTGAATCAGAAATATTGTTTCCACTTCTGATACAAGGTCTAAAAGGAATTTCACTTTCAATAGATTGTCCCAGGAATTTGCAAATGATCTTAGGAGCTCCACAACCCCTTCATACTCATAACTGTGCTATGCATTGTCTTTAGAGGGGAAGAAATGGGGGAAAATCATTTTTAGGCCTTTAAAACTTTTGATTCAAGAAGTATATGAGAGCAACTGTTTCCTTATATCTCTACAGGGATTTTAGAGAACAAGTCAGATGTGTGGGTCTAGTTTAGAAGAAGCAGGAACCATGCTAAAATAGATGACTCAGTGCGTCTCTTAGATCAAACCTAAAGACTTGACCCTTTCGTTGTAGAATCCTGCCAAAGGTGAAATGGAAGTTCTGAACCATTGTTTTCCAATTGGAAAACCATTGGACTTTGTTATTTCAAGTATAAAGCTAAAGTGCTAGACTTCAAACAGCCTGTAAGAAAAGACATTATAACAAAACTCAAATAGCAGTATCTCCAAATTAATGTAATCCTAGTCATTTGCTATTTGGAGAAATAGAAAACCCTTTGGCATTTGGGAATATTTGCCCTTGGGAGATTTTTTTTTCATGAGCTAAAAGCAACACTAGTTTGAATTTCATTCTGTGCTCCGATCACTTGTATAGTTAATGTGTGTTAGGATTTTAAGCTCTGTCATTGCAGTGACTTCATCAGCCTTTTCCTGATGTGTTCACAGAATCTACCAGTGTCTGCACGTAGTGAATTAGTCCTTAGTAACCACGTGAGGTCATTTTACAGATGTGCACACTGAAGCTTAGAAAATTGAAGAAAACTCCCAAAGGGTATAAAGTTCGTAAGTGATGAGTAGGGATTAGATCCCAGGAATTTCAGGCTCTAAAGTCAACGCTTATTGTTAATGTGCTTTACATTTACAGTAAATGAGGGATTGGATGAATAGGACAAGAGACACTTGTATTGGCCCCTTTTTGGTGACATTTGTCGTATAATGGTTGGTAACTTAGTTTCTGTG